TACTTAAGTCTTGTTTCTGATCCTAGTGAGTGCTTAGGTTCTCCACTTTTACCTTAAGGTGCTCATGATCACGGTTTAATCTCTCTAAAACTGTTATCTCATTTTTCTTCATTATTAGAATCTCCTTAATATAGTACTATCTTAAAGCTGACTGGAACTCTCCGTGATTTTCTTCGTTGTGGCCCTTGGGTAGAAATCTTTTGTCTTCCTGCTAAAAAAGGTGCTTTTTACGTAACTTCTTAGATTTAGGCTGGCATGAATACTTTATGTCCTCTCAACAAATCCAAGTCAAGCCTCACTCTTCTCCATAGTTTTACTCTCATTGTACTGCTGTAATTTCCAAACGTTACCTTTATTTTCATATTTATCTGCAAATCAACTCTCTAGAAAAAGATGTCTGCTTACTGATGTTAGAAAATATTGTACCAAATGCCCAAGCTATTGCCAGTTCACGTCTCAAAAATTAGGCTCTCGTGACTTCTGGAGAATCTTTAACAGTACCTATAATAAGGGCAAATCCGTTATTCCATCTCTCTTGTTAAGAGCATGCATCTCTTGCGCCATCTACTAAAACCATTGTCGTATTAGTCGTCATTTAATTAACAAATAAAGTCTCATCTTTTTACTGTTTTTTAGTGCTCCAAAAATTTTTATTTCCCTAGTTTTTTTCCTCAAGCAACAGTCTTTGGAATTTGCTTTCTTCATCTTGTTTTCCTGATTCATTCATATAATTTGCAATCTTTTAACTTATTTGTTAATCCTTTTATAGCACTATAAACTTTATCTTTTCTCTGTCAGTAACTTCTAAATCTAATAATGGTTGCTTGCAGCTTTTTAGGAAGTGAAGATGTTGAAAAAAAATCTTACCGTTCTTTTTTTATAACCTAACTTATGTGTCCCCTTGACTAGTCAAAGTAAGTTGAGCGAGTTTGGAATAAGCAAATAAATATATCATGAAATTATATCATTAATACACCTCCGTTACATCACTACAATAATTATAGCTAAAACGATTAACTTTTTATTTTATGTTTTTAAAAACAGACAGAGTTTTAACTTTATTTTAAATAACAAAAACCTCAGAAGTTTAAGAGTTATAGCTATGTGTATTTAACAAGCGTACATTTTAGGAAAGTTGTAGTAATGGAAAAAGGACTTTGTTTGCAAACTTAAAATAGTTGTAATATATAAACGCCTGAGTTTCTGTTATAAATTTTTAAATTAATCAATAAACTTTTATCCAGTTTTGTGAAAATATTTTTCTTTTTTTAACCTCATCAAAAATGTTGGGCTAATTGTTTGTCGGCGAGAGGAAAAAAAGATTTCAGGACTTGAAAAGTCCTGAAATCTTTTCCAAGTCCCAACCTCTACTGATTGCAATTTTTTATAAATACTTTTATTTTATGCCACAGTGCCAAATATTTAGCGACACTAAGCACAATTAGCGAGTTACAGGTTCTAATCTGCATTATAAAAGTGTGTGCAATAATTACTTTGTAGATTTTTGCTTTATTTACGAGTTGTCATGTCACAGCTTTTTTTGTACTGTTTCATCAACTTCACTAACTTATAGTGTTTATTAGGTTAGTGTCAATTTAGGTCAAATATTTTTTACGACTAGAGTGGAAGTTTATAAGGTGCACAGACCCTTGTTTTATATATAAAATTTTTTTTTTTTTTTAAAGTTTTTTTTTAAGTGTGGCACACGGCTTAAAAGTACTTTTTTATTTTTTTTTACCCTTTTTGACGTTTTTGAACAGCGTGTGCCACCCTTAAACATTATTAAATTCAAATTATTTTTTTTACATATTCTTGCAAGAACCTATATAAAAAAATAAAAAAGTATTGTATTCGTATTTTTTTTTTCAACACTAAAAAACTTAAAGAAAAGTTGCTAAATATTGACAAAAAAAACGATTTTCTTTATTTTAATGATCGCGGTAGCTTTCGTTGCTGCTTGAGATAAATAACATGTAGACATGGAAAAAACTTCAAAACTACGTATACTTATATCAAATTATAATGCTTTGAAAAAATTCCAGTTATCGGAGCCTGAGATCTAGAAAAACCGTAAAACTCAGCCCCCCCCCCTACTCTAAAACTGAGGGCAATAAGTTGCCCAAATTTATACTAATGTTATTCTGAACTAAATTTACATTTATCGACAGGTTTTAATAATATTGTAGCGTTCAAAAGTTATGACCATGTAAAGTTGCCACTCTCCCTAAAAAGAGGGGGTTAAAAGCTCAACGTATAGTTCTATAGTATTTTTATTACAAAATCTAGTTTAATGTATTAGATAATTTTTGATGTTAAACTTAGAGATAACTCTAAATGAAGTTGGATTACCACTCCCCTAATAATATAACTTTATTACGAGTTGCAGGTAGAGAAGTGGGAATAAATAAAAACAAAATTAGCGTAATTTTAAACTTTGATTAAATAACCAACAATCAGCATTTTAAAATACTTCTAATTACATTTGATGTTAAATCTTTTT